GCCCAATGCAGGGACCCTTCAGCCAGGTGTAAATGCAATGATGCTCTTTCCCATTTTTCTCAGAGCCGCGAGCACACCCTGCACACGGGATGTCAATCCCATCCCCTATGGTCTCCTCCCGCAGCCCCACCCCACTTCCCAAGGAGAAGGGCCCGTGCTTCTTTGATTGGCCTGGGCTCTCCGTGGTTGTGAAGAACCTGATTATGGTAAGTAGCCTAGTAAAGGGCTGGTGCACATGAGAAAAGCAGCCAGACGAGGATGCCCAAAGACACTTCCAGGGAGCTAATACACATGGCACGCAGAAGTCTCCCGTGACCTTCTGTGCCGCGTTTTATACCAGAGATCACTCTTTTACTGTTTTAGTTAGAGCTCTCCTTCCCCATCTTTGTGTCCTTCCCCTGCTCTCCCCTCCTTCCTCCTGGACTCCTCCTCCTGCCCTCCCATAATGCGGGTGGTCCTTGGGTGTTGTTTTTTAGCATTCTCCTTTTCTGACTCATGGGCTCAATTGTCTGAATATGTATTACCCCTCAAACTACATTTTCATCCCATACCTGTCTGCTGAGGCACAATTGTCTACTCCAGATAACAGCTCAGAACAGCTCACCTTTGAACATTATTGCAAGCATGTCTATGAGGTATGTACAGTTACACTCCCATTTTACAGATGGAGAAACTGAGGCATGCCAAGTTGCAGTAACTTGCCCCATGCTGTAAGGCCAGCAAGAGGCAAGGCTAGGTCTGAACCCAGGTAGTAGCTTCAGAGACTGCAAGTTGAACCCCACAGTCGCCTGCCTCTGAGGCACGGAAAACACAGCATGTGCAGAAACATAGTCTTTGTATTTCTTCCCCAAACCAGGGGTGGGAATGGGAGATCTCAAGTGACCTGCCCATGGAGCACCTGACTAAATGTGGGGTCTTGTGACCTGGTCATGAGAAAATCCAGGCTACATCTAGTGAAGTGAAGAGCAAGTTTCAAAAAGGGGGAGGGCAGGGGCTTGGAGGTGGAATCCAGCCCCAGAAGACCAAGGAGGCCTGAATCTGGTAATTACGGAGGCAGTACTGTGATGGGCCACAAAACTCAGCACAAAACTACGATGTGGGAGACAGGAGATGAAGAGAAATGTGACGATGTTGAAGCCATGAGGGTCAGTGCCAGACATGGACACTCACTGATGCATACTTTGGAGCAGAGGAACACACCCTGAGGAAGTGGGAAACAGAGTTTAAAAAGTAGAAATGAGACTAAATGGGGGCAAGATTTGGAAATGCTAGTTGGGGGGAGGGGAGCAAGAACTGAAGCAACAGTTTCTGATGCCAATATTCATGTTTGTCTCATTTTTGTGGTATGACAATAATCAAAATTAACATTTAATGAGCATTTACACCATGCTAAAGGGTATCCATGCACTGACATCAAATAAGTGAATGTGCATTACAAACCATGGTTGTGCTATAAATTGCCTTATTGGAACTGAAGGTATTATCCAGTCCATTTCACAGATGCCAAACAGGCTCAGACAAAAAAAGTCTCTCGGGCAAAGTTGTACAGCTAGAAGTACTGGCATGCACATTCACATGTTTTACAGCCCCCTGGGGATGGTTAGTTCATCGAGGGCAATGACTTTGCCTCATCCATCCTGGTAACTCTAGAACCTAGTGCACTGCCTGGCACAGAAGAGATGCCCTTTAAACATCAGCTTAGACTTGTCACCACTCCATGCAATCTGTGTTTATTGAGTAAGTAAATGAACCACTGATATACACACTAATGGACAATTCTCTTGACTACTAGCTGGGGGTGGATCCCATGGATGGGGTCTGCATTCTGGTAGCTGGGGACTTTTGAGGCTTTGTGAAATAATAGGGAAATTTTGAATGACGATTCCTGTGGCCATCATGGGAGTGGAGAGATGAACTACCACATAAAACCATGTTAGTGTTGGCTTTTCTCATGCTTTCATCTTGAGAGGGCAGGAAAGGATCACAGCCATGGCCCAGTGTGTATGGGGACAGGAAGCATTAGTGGCAAGATGGTGAGGAGGGAAGGCTCTGCTCAAGAGGAAAAAAAACCCTGAAAACAAGAGGGACTGTCTCAAGAAAGGACACTGGAGATGTAGATGCAGAACTAAAGATCCAGAGAGAAAAATGGCAAAGTAGTACAGGAAGGCAGGCTGAGGGAAGCCTGGGGTCGAACACTGATGCTCTTTCAGAGCTCTGGGAAAGGCTGCTGGCCACAGAGCTCTGTGTGGACTGCCTCCCATGCAAGTGGCTGCGTAGGACCCCAGCACAGAGCCATGCTGCCCTCTGCAGGAGGACAGGCCCCACCCCACAGGAGCCTTGGCCTTTGGCTTGCTGACCTGAAGAGCTTTTGGACCCAGCTGACCACAGGAAGAAGGAAAAGTAAGGAGGAAGGGAGGAGAGTGGGCAAGTTATAGATCCAAGTGAAGGACCATGTGGTGTTCTGTTGAAGCGAAGGCAAGGAAAACAGCACATCTAGAGGACAGGCTCTTCGGGAAATCAGAAATGCCAGAGCTTTGAAATTCACAAATGAGTTAAGGGAAGAAGGAGTCACAGGGCAAAACCCATTACAGAAAAAAACAGGCTGAAACAGAAGAAGGGGAAACAATGAAAATTGGAGAGTATTGAGTTTATAAGAAATTGATACGCAGTAGTTGGTGGAAATGTTGCTTTGGCTTTGGGGATAGGAGAACTGTAAATATGGGTAATATGTAAATACCATTTATAATTTAAAAAGTCTGGAAGGCTCAAATGAGATAATCTTTCTGAAGGCACTTTGACAAGTATGAAAGGAGATATTTGTGGCTGAGAGGAAAGGATGCTGGACGTGGAGCCTGAAAACCAGCGTTGGAGAGCCAGCTCTGCCCCTGTGGAGGGCAAGTCACTGGTCCTCTCCGTCACCTCTGTGTCCTCAGCTGGGAAAGTGGCAATAACTGCTGTCTCCCGTGATGACTCTGCGGGGCTGCATTAATTTCCTAGGGCTGCCACAACAAAGTACCACAAACTGCTGGCTTACAATAACAGAGATTTTCCCCTTACTGTTCTGGAATCAAGGTGTCATTGGATGTCCTCCCTTGCCTCTGCCACCTTCTGGAAAGCCAAGCATTCCTTGGCTTGTGGCAACATTGCTCTAGTTTCTGCCTCTGTCTTTACATGGCCTTCTCCCCTGTGTCTCTGTGTGTCCTCTCCTCTTCTTGTAAGGACACCAGTCGCTAGACATAGGGATCACACCAAAGCCAGGATGATCTTATCTCGAGATACTTAGCTAATTTCATCTGCAAAGACCCTGTTTCCAAATAATGTCACATTCTAAGGTCCTTGGAAGACATCAATTTTGGGAGACACTGCTCAATCCACTCAGAGCCCAAATAGCAGTCGAAGCTATTTTTTTTTTTTTTTTCTGTGCTTCTTCTTGTCCCCAAAAGGCCACTCTCCTTATAATACCTCTACATGCATCTCTAATGGCAATTTCCCACAAGATAAATTCCAAGCCTCCCGGGCCGGCACTGCATGCTCTGTCTGACCGCTTTTCCTGGTCTCTGTCCCTGGCTTTTTCTCACCTTCCCTGAATCCTCCACTCTGTAATCTCAGCCAACTGATTCCTTCTTAATCTTTATGACCCAGTTGTAACTCCTTCAAGAAACTTCCTCAAAGACCCTAAAGTTAATTCTTCTGCTCTGAACACCTTTGACAGAAATTATTTTGTCCTTTCATTGGGCAAGTTCATCAGCTCTTTGCTCCCTTACATTAAGTCATTATTTATCTCCTGTCTTGTTATGTGACTTTTTCTGTGAATTGAGGCCTTTCCTCCAGCATCATCCAGGCAATGAAGACTTGGAAAAGAATATTTTTCTTCTTAGAACCCCCAGCATCTAGTTCTGTGTGTGGCACAATCCAGGTCCTTGGTAACTTACTAAATCATTTGCTTCCCACGGCACCAACTCTGTTGCCACCAAAATTTCTTCTCTTTCACCTCATGCGTGGCTGCCTTTCCTGGACACCTTGGTCCAAAGAGATGCCTTTCTCCTCTGAGCTCCTGGGGCATCTAGCACGTACAACTTTGATTTGGTCCACTGTGTGTTACTTACACGTTCGTTCACAAAGATTCATGAAGCACCTACTCTGCTTGGCTTTCTTGCTCTGGGCTCCAGAGGTCCAGTGTGTAAGCCTGGATCATTCTCCCATTCTGAGGGCAAGGGCACACTGCCATCCATCCTCCTGTCCTCACAGGCCTGACGCCCTTCTTCAAGTGGTACACATACATGCTCAATTGGATGGTTCGATTCAAGTGGTTTTAACTAATCCTTAAAGGACAATTCCAATTGAGGGATCCAAAGTGCTGTCAGCTTAAACTAGGGCCTCAAAGCCCTCTGAGAAGGCACCACTAGGGAACCAAGTCCTGAGCTCTGTAGCCAATGCTAGAAATGAAGGGCCTGACGGAGAATGAGCCAGACATTGAGAAGTGGCTTCCCCAGCACCCTCTGTACTTGCAGCATGGGAGAGTGCAGAGCAGGGCATCTGTCTGCAGCATTTGCCACAGTGGTGACTGAGCTACTCCTGTCGTGGCCCACTGCACAACCTTTGGAGATCTTTTGCTTCCCACGTAGGAACCAGAAGGAAGGGGGAATGTGTTGTTTCAATGTCAATGTGGGCAGGGCTGTGAATGTGGGACAGATGAACGAGAGTAAGGACCCTTCTGTGCAGTGCATTATGTTGTGCAATAAGGCAACCTCAGAAGGCAGCCACATCCCTCCTTTCGATTCAGCAGTAAGACCAACTGGCCTTCTCTCCTGCACTAGCCAGGCAGCAGGATCTGCAAGCTCCTCCCCTGTGGCAAGGAGCACATGGGGTGGGCGATTAACAAGCAGCATTGGTTCCAGATGCTTCTCTGGCCTATCTGACATGCCCATGGGCAAACCAGAGATAATCCTGGGCAGGAAACGGACCCTGCCAGAGGCTCTTGGTGGAAGGTAGTCACTTACCTGCATTGTTTTGCTGCTTGGTGTTTTTGATGTAGGCAGAAAACTTGGAGAAAATGTCGATGCCTGCTGTGTTGGATTCCCGGTGTTTTGCAGCCAGTCTGGGGTACCTGGAATGGAAGATGCAGATGGTTCTGTGAATCACTAAGACTTGGAGCTCCTTTAAGGATGAGCCTATTCTCATCCCGATGAGCAATGCTTCCCTCTCTAGCTGGATCTACAAATATTTTAGGGTTCTTACACCCATCCTATTGGGAGGGTGGGCAGTCTTAGTCCTAGTGCACCTACAGAGGAAACCAGAGGCCAGTGAGATGCTGAGAGTGGCCTGGGGTGATGCTGTCTGGTGGACAAGGGACCAGAATGCTGTTTGGAGGGCCCAGGCTGCGTCCTCTTCCTGGGGACACCAACAATGATGCACCAGTGAAAAAGCTCTACTCCAAATTCTGACTGAGTTTGCCTCTGTGTCATGTAAGGTCCCTGACATTTCCCCTGCCTACATAAAATAGCTATCCACTGTCAGGCCTGAGATTATAATCCCAGCTGCACAAAGCTAGTTCTGGGAACAGGGAGATGCCAGGCATCTTAGAACTGAGGCCTCCAAACCATTTTTCTGAAGGAAGGATACCCATGGCCCTCTCCTATTCTGAAATGCCCTTCACACACTTATTATTTGTATGCAGTAATAGGATGTGGAAACTATCAGGATACATCAGCAGGACATGTGTTTTCAATTGTTTTATTTCCAGGCATGGAGATAGAGCTGCTGGGATCCAGCCCCTCTCTCCCTTGCACAGTCTTTCATTTTGAAGCCAGAAGAACACAAGAGGCAGGCTGGGGTTGGGACTATTGGCCTTAATACTGAATGAGGTAAACTTGCTTGTGTGGGACCCCATGGCTTGGACCCATTAGCACCATCAAAACGAGCAATTCTAAATTTAAAAAAAAAGCATTGTTTCACAAACATTTTATGTGTATGACCAGGCAGGGATGAGAGGAGATGGGGGGACAATTGCCTGGTTGTCATTATTCTCAGTTAATGTGAACATTTTTGATCTCTGGGTAAATAGCTGGTGACTGAGTTGTTTGGTTGCTTTATATTTAAGAAGCAAGATACTTCTTTTTTGTTTGTTTTAATGTTTTAAATAATTTGAACAAAAAGCCTTTAGAAATTATCTGTTCTTTTTTCATTTCTTTGCTCCTTGACTGGCCCATTAGCTAGTACTGTCCACTGTTGGATCATGTTAGGTGGCTGTTCAATTTCAGAGATACTGCCATTGGAAGGGTCCTCAGAAATGTATCGGGTCCAGCTCTCTGCCTTCAGGCAGACAAGGAAGGCATTATTGTCCTCATTTTTCAGGTAAGGTAATTGGAGACCTGAGAAGTTAAATGATGATTTAACAGTGCATGTCTAATAGAAAGTGGAGAGACAAAAGAACCTGGCTTCCTGGCTCTGAAGCAATGTCCTTCCCACTCGATCACGCTGCTTCTCTGATAACATGAAAAGCTAACTTGCATTGGATGCCAATGATGTGCCAGGCACAGTGCTAATCCCTTTACGTGTATTCCCCACGTATTCCTCACAGGAATTCTATTGGTACTATTATTAGCTTCATTTCCCATGTGAAGAAACTGAGGCACAGAAAGGTTAAGCAACTTGCCTAAGGTCACGTGGCTAGGTGGCAGAGCCAGGATTCCAAGTCAGGCAGTTTCAGTTTGGAAGCTTGTCTCTAAGTTCCCTGTGCTGTGGCTTCTCATCAACTCTGCTGTTTACTCTCAAAGCCACAAAGCCCTCAGGCTAGGCTGGGTGCAGTAAATGAGCTGTATCCATCCACCAGGAGGGAGCGCTGTACACATATTCTGTGCACATGCACATGTCTGTGGGTATACTGGAATTATCAAATTCAACTGCTGTGACTGGGGGCAAGAAGTAAGGTTTCCTGCAAGATGCTGAGTACTCTGCCAAGACATGGGGATTTAATGTCATCTCTCCTTATTTTGGCCTTCTCACATAGAATCTAGCATGCTGTTAGAATTAATAGACTTAAATTATTATTAATAAACACCAAGTGCTCTTTGTTTCACCTCGATAACGTAAAGAAAGAAAGGCTTGGAAAATGCATTTCAGTGGACAATTTGTATGGGTTTGTTGTTTTGTTTCGCTCCATGTCATAATTTGATCAAATGTCCAGTAATCTGACCACTTCTTCACAATCAGGGAGGGCAACACATAGTTGACAAAGGACTGTGCATTCATGGGGACCAAGGCAGAGTCATGCTATTTCCTAAGCACTATGATTCATAGAGACTTTACTGTATCGCCTAATGTCCCATTTGAAGTTTGTTCCTGTGGGAAGTATATCTCCAAGATGTTAGTCTTGCAGATTTCAGTAGCTAGACTTGTGGAGGCTACTCTACAGCATGAAAGCACATTCATTTTAGCTTTGTATTTATACCATATTTCGAATATGCAAATAAGTAGACTACAGAGTACATTCCATTTCTCTGAAAAGCTAGCAAACTGTGTTTCATTCATAGAAGTGTTTTGAAATATGTGATGTGGTCTGATGACAGTCAAAGATATGATGAATTTCTCTAACTCAGGGATCAGCAAACTGTGCCCAGGATCCCTGCTTGTGTACAACCCTCAAGCATATAATGGTTTTTACATTTTTAAATGGTTGAAAAAAATCAAAAGAAAGATACTATTTTGTGACATTTGAAAATAAAATGAAATTCAAACATACATTAATAAGTACCTACAAGGGCCAGGCCTTGTGCTTGGTTTTGGGGATACACAGGAGAAAAAAAAGAGGCCATCCTAATTGAGTGACCTTTGCTGGTTCTGGGTGTCTCTCTAGCACCTTGAGTATTGACCCTCCCTTTTCTAATGAGCTGAAAAGTGGATGGACTTCCTCTCTCTCCCTTCTCCATTATTCCTGCTTCCTCACTTCTCCAAACCCTCACTTGAGAAGCAGGTTTATGTGCTTGTTTGTCTCATCTCTGCTATCTAAGCAAAAGATCTTGGAGGTGGAAGATGCCTGGCTTACTCATAAAAAGACATCCCTTAGGATCTGTGGTTTTAAGACCTAAGGTGTCATCAGTCATCTTTAGGATTGCACCTGGGAGACAGCCACAAAATAGGCACTAACTTCTCTTTATAACTCTGAGCTTCCGTTTAATGAGCTCTTACTCTATGTCAGGTGCTAGGCTGAGTAGCCCTGTAAGATTTACATTATGATCCTCTTTTTATGGATAGGAGAAATAAACATTACAGAGTTTTTAAGTAATCTGCCTGTTGCAGATACCACTCATATTCAGTAAATATTAAGTGTAGCTTTGCTGCATTTCCCAGCTTCTGTATGTTAGGTTGGGGTCATGTGACCAGATTCTGGCCAATGGGATGGGCGGGGAAATGAGGTAACCACCCATAGCCCTGGTCCTTAAAAATACTTTGCATGATCCTTCTGCTTGCTCTTTCTCTGCTGAAAGAGCCTTGGAGGCCATGGATTCCAAAAGCTACAAGATGGAAAGTAGCCATGCTACCCACTCAGTCTTTGCTCGAGTGAGAAATGAACCCATATTCTGTTAAACCACCGAGATTTTGTGGCCTGTTGCTGCCCCTGCCTCCCCCCATGTTACTGCCACTGTCTTGGCTCAGTCCTTCCTTCTTGTCTTTCCTGGACCGTCACCAATGGGCTCCCCCTACCTGATTTCTCTACTTCCAGCTCTACCATCCTCTACCCTCCTTACCTCCTCCAACCTCCAAAGTAAGTCTTAAAAGTCACTGTCCAACTCTTTTGCTTAAAACCTTTCGGTGGCTGCCCTACAGGATAAAGTCCATGCTTTTCTCTACATATAATATTATTTTTATAGGGGTTTTTTTATGTGATTGTTTTAATCTCTGATTACAAGATTCTATAATGAACAAGTCTAGCTTCTGGTAAATTTTAGAATCCCTCCCTTTTCTCTTCACTTCTTTTTTCCATCAATAGCATCTCATCTACCCAACAAGATCTTATAGCCTTCTGGTCTGTCCCCTCTCTGTACCTGTTTTCAGAAGAGAAGTGGCTTTTGGTCAGTTTTCTCATTGTGGGATCAGACCAGACTTGGTCAGATTTATGACTCTCAGTGTGGTGCTAAGTCATCGGGTTACCCTTTCCTGGCTTAGTTCCATTTAATTAGCCTTTCAACTCTCATCCCACACTTGGAGGTCTTCAAGGCAAAGTGAACTGCAGAGAAGGGGACACGCCAGGGTGAGGGAGGGTGGTAACCTTTCCCATGCTCCTGAAATCACTCTGTTTAGGAGGCAGTGACTGGCTCCACTTCACGGGTGATGACTACTCTCACGTGGATTTAGTGGAGCCCTTCTGAGACTGGCAGCCCCGTGTGGGGGGGTATAGACTCTCTGTTTGAAAACAGGGCCCTATGCTTAGGATCAATGAGGCTCCTTTGGAAATCTGCCTTCATGAAAATTGATGCTTTTATGCTCTTCCAGTTCTAACATGGACCCTTCCTTTCCATTAGCTCCAGAAAGAAGCAGTTCATTACTTTTCAGGGGTCAAGGTCTCCTCCAAGAACTCCTCGATTTTATTGACGTCTGTCTTCACGTCCCCGTTGAAGGTCAGGAAGGGCGGATGGGTGCCAGGGGCTAGATTGTGCAGGTCCGCAGGCTTTCTGCAGAGAGAGCAAGACGCAGGTGTTGGTTTACATGAGGGAGCAACTAATATCTAACAGTGGCCAGTCTTTGCCAGACTCATCAGAGTGCTTTTTTGGTCTATACGGTCTGGTACAGTCTTCAAATATCCATGAAAATAAGCAAACTACTAGATTGAAAACGAAACTATTAAGTGGAGACGATGTTTTCAAAAGCCTTTTTATTGCTAAGTTTCTAACATGGACACACTATAAGTCCCCGCGAAACCTCACGGATTTATGTCTGACAGACCCAAGTTCAAGATTATTGCTAAACAAACACTGGATAGACTATCACCAAGGATTATTGCTAAACAAACACTGGATAGGCTATCATGCTTAGGATCAATGAGGCTCCTTTGGAAATCTGCCTTCATGAAAATTGATGCTTTTATGCTCTTCCAGTTCTAACATGGACCCTTCCTTTCCATTAGCTCCAGAAAGAAGCAGTTCATTACTTTTCAGGGGTCAAGGTCTCCTCCAAGAACTCCTCGATTTTATTGACGTCTGTCTTCACGTCCCCGTTGAAGGTCAGGAAGGGCGGATGGGTGCCAGGGGCTAGATTGTGCAGGTCCGCAGGCTTTCTGCAGAGAGAGCAAGACGCAGGTGTTGGTTTACATGAGGGAGCAACTAATATCTAACAGTGGTCAGTCTTTGCCAGACTCATCAGAGTGCTTTTTTGGTTTATACGGTCTGGTACAGTCTTCGAATATCCATGAAAATAAGCCAACTACTAGATTGAAAACAAAACTATTAAGTGGAGACGATGTTTTCAAAAGTCTTTTTATTGCTAAGTTTCTAACATGTACACACTATAAGTCCCCGTGAAACCTCACGGATTTATGTCTGACAGACCCAAGTTCAAGATTATTGCTACACAAACACTGGATAGGCTATCACCAAGGATTCTGCATCAAGCACCTACTATTACTAGGTAAGAAGATACCTGAGAGGGCCTTACAATGCAAGATCCATGAGGGAGAGAACCTAGAACTGTGCCCAGCATATAGGAGCCCTCTGTAGATACATATTTTTGATGGCTACATAAGTAAAACATACATTTTTAATTTAGAAAGAAGTTATTTTAGCTGCAAAATTAAAAATTGAAGATTGGTTTGAAACTTCAATCCAATTCCAAAAGCTTCTGGCTTACAATTCAATATGGGGAGAGCCAGCAGGCAACTCTACTGCTGGAGTGTCAGTTCTCAACCTTATTCTACCTTTTGCAGTGTTTTTACTTTGTAACTTAATTCAAGCATTCACTATTATTCTTAAAATGTAACTATTATGGTTCTGGTTTTATGCGAAAGTAGTTATTTTTCATGAAATATTTAAAAATTCTGTTCAACATGCATAAATTGAAAATCTCCTATGAGTCAGAAATAAGTCATAATTTTTTTAAAATGAATCATAATTTAAAAAATTACAAGGGTACTTAAGTGTTACCTTAAGTTATAAACAATTTATTTTCCAAGTAAACATATCTTCTGTTTTCTAGTGGGACTCAATTAAATACAGCACTTGCTTGTGAAAGTTATTTCTTTTTAGAGCATGTTTTGCTGGGACCAGTGGGATCTTCTAGATGAAGCATATGTATAATAGGCAGCAAATTCAGTTCCTAAAAAGAGAGAAGGCTTCTTGTTGTGCCTGTAGGATTCCGGGTCAGACACAGAAAAAAAAACTAAGATAAACCAAGCAACGGTGCTTTTCCTTCCCTCTGGGGGAAGAGGAGATCCAAAAGTCCTAAATTATCCATACAGAAAGTCCTAGATGAGGAAGAAAAAGGTGAGATCCTGGAACACACATCTGATCAAATGAAGGAACAATAACTGGTTGAACTCTCTGTCCTCAGCCCACAGCAATGCTAAGTGGTGCTCCTGGTGTGTGCTGAGGAGTAGACTGCCACCTGTCCTTCCCTCTGGGGGAAGAGGAGATCCAAAAGTCCTAAATTATCCATACAGAAAGTCCTAGATGAGGAAGAAAAAGGTGAGATCCTGGAACACACATCTGATCAAATGAAGGAACAATAACTGGTTGAAATTTCTGTCCTCAGCCCACAGCAATGCTAAGTGGTGCTCCTGGTGTGTGCTGAGGAGTAGACTGCCACCTGAGGGAGGGGATGTCCTGCAAGTACAGCAGGAGGGAAAGAGACCTCATGTTTGACTTGGGTCCCGTTAAAGCCCAAGGATGTGCTTCTGTGATTGCTCCAGCTGGTCAGAATGCAAGAGCAGGGGTGGAGCAAAGGGGGGGGGGGGAGAAGGGTTGGAAGATTGGGGGAAATGCAGAGGGAGAGGCTTGCCCTAAGAGAAGCGTAAGGAAGAGGGGAAATAATCATGGAGATGTGTGTTCACGGGCAGGGCGGGGGGGGGGGAAAAGGGGGGGGGGGGGGAGAAGGGTTGGAAGATTGGGGGAAATGCAGAGGGAGAGGCTTGCCCTAAGAGAAGCGTAAGGAAGAGGGGAAATAATCATGGAGATGTGTGTTCACGGGCAGGGCTGGAACGTCAGATTCACCCCAAATACTCTCTCTGAGAATGCAGCATTTCTTGTGGGAGTCAGGAGTGGAAAACATTCGATGGAGGAACTGTAAAAAAAAAGTAAACAATGGGGGTAGAGGAGTCAGTAATGAAACAAATTCCTGGCGTAATCAGTTTGGGAGGGGAGAGAGGAATTTCAATCACGGTGCTACTCCCATACACACTCTCCAGCTGTGCTCTGGGGCACTGGACTCAGACGACTGACACGGAAAGTATTTTTAAAATCCAATTTACTTAGTACCTTTGTTTACTTTGTGTGTGTCCCTCATTTTAGGCAATGAAAGGACATTCTTTACTTGCTCCTGTTTAGTTAGAGCTCACACAAGGCAGCAATGCCTGTGTTCTCAGCTGGAAGGGGAAATCTCTACTGATTTTATTTTTTCAGCCGTTACCTCTCTGTGGCTTAAAGATACAAAAATTTGTTGTTATCGCGGTGGTGGTGGTGGTGGGTTTTCTCCTGGGACTCTAGAGCACCATGGCCACTGGAGTCTGGCACCCTTGGGAAGTACTGCCCAGGGTTGCTGAAGCTCAGCTGGGCATGGCCAGTGGGATGCTGGTCAGTGGCAGCTCTCTCTTTCTTTGTTGTCCCTCTTTCAGCATTTATAGTTGAATTTGTGTCACTAGCATTGAATTACATATTGCCAGGTCTAATTTACAAATCATTTAATGTGTATCGGTCTTCTTTTCCTGACTGGATTGCCAGCTCCATGAGGCAGGGATGATGTTAAGAATAGCCAACAGGTATGGAGTTCTTGCTATGAGCCAGGTACAATACTGCATTCAAATGCTTTCCATGGCTGCCTCCCTAATCCTCACAACAACCCTACTGGTTAAGAAGGCACTGTTTCCATTGTAGAGATGAGGAAGCTGAGGCACAGAAAAGCTCAAGGTCACTCAGCCAACAAATGGCAGTGCCTGGATAAGAAATCAGTTTCCTTAGAAGTTAATATGGGTTTGTGTATACATATTTTTGGCAGTAAGAAATTTTTCTTATCTATAAAACTGGAGTGGTGATACTTGCCTGGCCTACCTCAAAGGGGTGTTGGCGGGACCAGATGTGATAACATGAGAGAGTGACCTAAGCACCTGAAGAATGCTGGGGTGGCTCCCTCTCCCAGTTTTGGCTGATCTTCAGCCAAACACACAAGTCCACTCTTACAATAACCCTGAAACCTCTGATTCCCCACTGAAGGAAGCTATTCATTCAAACTGTATGAAAGTCTCCTGCTCTTTTAAGTTATTGAAGACACTAATTGCATAGTGGGTACATGTTCGTTTATTTGACAGCTATTAGTTGAGGGCCTGTAAAGAGCTGGTTGCTATGGAAGATACAAAGAAATTTAAAACATGGTCCCAGCTCGTCCTCCAGGTACTTAAGGTCTCATTTGAAAGGCAAAAGAAACTCCTTAACTCTGTTATGAAGAGCACAGCATTTGAACCAAGGAGAGTGAGATTTCCATAGCAGCCCCTCCAGTTTCTACTTGGGCATCTTGGACAAGTCATTTAAATGTGTCTGCCTCTATTTTCTTACAGAAAGTGAAGAAATAAGGCCTCCTTTACAGGATCATATGTTATATGGTTTTTTTTTATGGGTAAGCACTCACCAGTTGTAAAAGATTAGGACTATCTATACCATAGCTCTCTGAAATGCTAAGTAATGGCTCAAGGCGGCACAGACAATAGGTGCCAGGTGAGTACAGAGGGAGGGTGGGTGGAGAGATAGCTCCTGAGAGTGGTGGGGTGGGAGTGGGGAGGCCTCCCAGGGGGGCTGGGGGTGAGCTGAATCTGGGTGTGGGACAATGTGTAAAGACAAGAAGGAGGAGAGAGCCTGTTCAGAAAGAGGAAGCATCCTAGTCAAGGGCTGGAGGCCAGAAGGAACAAGACCAGCAGAAAGTAGGCCAGCCTGGCAGAAGTATTCAGGTCATGGTGCAGAGTTGGGAAGAACCAAGGAAAGACTAAAGAGGGTGCCGTGGTTTGAATGTTCCCCCAAGCTCAAGTGGAAGATTGATCCCTGTATTAGCCCATCTGTGTTGCTTATAACAGCATACCTGAAACTGGGTAATGTATAAAGAAATGAAATTTATTTCTTACAGGTTTGGAGGCTGGGAAGTTCATGATTCAGGGGGTGCATCTGGTGAGGTCCTTGTTCTTGATGGTGACTCTCCACAGTGATGCAGGGTGTCACATGGTGAGAGAAATGGGCTGAACAAGAGAGCCAACCTCACTTAGTCTCCTTACAGAGCCGTCAGAGCCATGCCTATTACTCCAAGAATGGATCAACCCATTCACAGGGGCACAGTCCTCACAACCTAACTACCTCCTAAAGGTCCCATCTTTCAAATAACATAATTGGATTTCCCACCCTTTTAACACTGTTACAATGGAGATTAAGCTTCAGTGAGTTTTGGAGAGACATTTAATCCACAGCAATCCCCAATGTGGCAGGGTTGAAAGTTGGAGCCTTCAGGAGGTGATTAGGTCATGAGGGCCCTGCCCTCATGAATGGATCTATTCTTTAATGGATTATCATGAGTGTGGACTTGTGGCTTTATAAGGAGAACACATAAAAGCACTCTTGCAATCCTCCCCATATGACTGCCTCCATCTCCATGGGACTCTGTAGAGAGTCCCCACCAAGAAGAAGGCCCTCAGTAGATGTGTTCCCTGCACCTTGGACTTCCCAGCCTCCCAAACTGTGAGAAATAAATTTCATTTCTTTATAAATTACCCAGTTTCAGGTATTCTGTTATCAGTGACAGAAAATGGACTAATACAGAGGGCTTCAGATGCATTTATTCCATGGACAATTGGAAGCATCGAAGGTTTTCTGAATAGGAGAGCCACCTGATTAAAGCACTATTTTAGGAAGAATAACCTTAGGATAATATACAGAATAGATAGAGAGATAAAGAGAGAGAGCACCTGGAAGGATGAAAACCAGTTTAGAGAATAAGAAACAGTCAGAGTGGCAGTGGTGAGACCTGAGACAGGTGTGGGCTTTGAGAATGGAAAAGAGCACGTGGAGGTAGGAGACGGTCCAGTGGGAGAGTGCACTGGTCCTGGCCACCAATTGGCAATGGGGGCAAAAGAAAGGAGCTGGAAATGTTTCAGTGCCTAGGAAATGAAGAACAAGGGAGTTCAGAAGGAGAGCCCACCTCAAAGGAAAAAAGATGGATACAATTTTAGACACAGATTTTAAAGTAATAATAGAGCATCCAAGTGGAAATATCCAGATGATAGCAGGACTCTGGGAATAGAATAATTCACATGAAAGCAGTGGGGACTTTGCCAAGCTCACAAGGGAAGAAGGTAGAGGCAGAAGATAAATGCTCGGGAGTGAGCCCCGAGCTATTCCACATCCAAAGGGCAGGCGGAAGAGAGGAAACAATACATTCTGTAACGGTGAAAAGAGTGTGGCTCCTGATGTCAAATGATGCCTGCTACTGTTAATGGTCATTAAACTGCACTTTGAAAGCAGAACACTAGTAATTCTCCATCCAGGCCTATAATCCAGAACCCTCACACTACGGACTTCTAAGGGTGGGAATATAGCATGGGTGTGGTCTAGATCTCAACTCCCTGAAGACTGGGACTCTCACACCTGAAGTCCTGCTGGGGTCCGTGGATAACAGTACAGTACAGTAGATGATAGTATTACAGGGATGGCTAACTCCTGTATTTTTAGATGTTGGTGCTAATTGAAACTTGCTAATCAGGGCAGTGAAGTGCTCACCCCAAGTGAGCTCTCGCTCTTGCAGCCTCCCTGGTAACTAGGGGTGTGCCCTGAGACCCATTTCTGCATGATGAGGTACAGGCAGGAGGCTGCTGGGAGCCACAGGAAGGCTTTTGCCATCCCTTGTGGTTGGTTTTTTGTTCCCTGCAGCTAAACATTTTCTTCATTCATACAGTGTTCTTTACCTTTTCAGATCCACAGTGGTGACATTGAATACGACTCCTTTCAGCCAAAGGATCATAAAGAGACGCTGAGAGAAAGGACAGTTGCCAATGCTTTCCCCATCGATTCCAGCCTGGAAAGAAGAAAACCAGAGTCCTGAGTCGGCATGTGCACACTGGCAAGAAGGAAGGTGAGATGACGACACCTGATCACCAGTCTGAGGAGAACTTCCTAAAACCATGTACCAGCCTAACTTCAATGGGCAGTAGCCCTACATCATCCATCTCTGTCTTTCCAATGTCTATGCAGGGTGATGTCTGGCACCATGTAAGGGCTCAATAAATACCTGCTGAACCAAACTGAGTTTGTAGCATAGTGGTTTTGAAGAATCATAACTTTATGAAACCATAGAACCCTAGCATCTCAGGGCAAAAAGAGATGTTCAACGTCATGGAGTCTAACACAAATGATGCTGAAACACCAACTTCTACACTCCCAGTAATCATCTATTCCATACGTGAATATCTCCACTGACCAGTAGTTTAAGTCTCTCAAAGCAGTCCATTCTGGGGACCACTCTAACAACTAGAAATGCTTTCCTTTGGCTATATCTAGCCAAAATATGTTTCTCTGTATTTTATTCTCTTCCACCCTTTGTTCCTTGCTCCATGAGGATGTCACCAGTACAAATGCCTCTGACTTTGATCTCAGCTTCTTGTATTTAGACCAGTCAGAAGGCTCAAAGCTTTAATCAATATACCTCTTAGATCTGACTAGTATCTGGCTTTCAGTGTCAATAAACCATTCATTTGTTAAATTATCCTTTTATGCAACAAATGTATATTGAGTATTGATTATGTGCCAGGCACTGGAGAAAATTACTCAGGAGATTAAAAAATGCATTTCTTCAAGGAGCTTATGGCCTTCTGTGGGGTGGGCTGGGAACACATATAACAATAACAGACAGAATTATTGAGTGCCCACATTCTTCTCCCATTTTATTTCCACTTCTCTTTACCCTCCTCAAAATATCGGGGTTTATCTTATGTCTAAAAGGCAAGTCTATCTTCACTGCACTTCTGAGTGGGCTGCACAGCCATGAATTTTATAAAGAATTTATTTCAAGCAAACACACAAAAACAAATGAAAATGTTGGGCAACTGGTCTCTGAATAATTTATTTCCATCGAGTTACTTACTGGCCCCCAGCATGGTACTTAGGGGAAAAAATACCCGCTCACTGTAGTCTCTGATAGTGGCTGCCCTGGAAACCTTGGTGTTATCAGGTGGTGGTGGCATGAGACTCCACTGACAGAGAGGGCATGAGTAGTGAAGCCCCCCAGCCTTACTGGCAAAGCTGCAAGCAATTCAACCAACATCCAGAATCCCCTCCCCCAAAAGAGAGGGAGAAAAAAATGCCTTCCCCCAAAGCTCAACACGTTATTTTCCCCCTTGAGATTTGTTTTGCTGCGGGCATTCAGATGCGGAGGCAGCGATGCCTTCTTTCATACAGTAGAGCCTAATTGTGTGCTTATTTCTGCTTTGCAAATAGCTCCCAGCAGAGGCTCAGGTTTATAATGGAAACCTAGAGCCTTTGACATTGTTGGTTGTGGTATTTGCTATGAAATTACGGTTATTTTACCTCCTTCTTAACTACACCAGAAGCTCCACAGCTTATTCAGTTCTCACTTTTCCCAGTGCTGGAAACAGACCCACCCCTGAGTAGCTGAGGCAGAAAAGTGGGAAAGATGGAAGGGCACAACGGGGGCACCACACCTGCCCACAGAGCTAAAGTTACTCATAAAGCACATTCAGACAGGCAGCTATCAGTTTAATATGGGTTTGGTGCTAACTCGAGTTTATGATGTCAGTACCCCGAGGGATCCCAGCAGAGGCTCAGGTTTATAATGGAAACCTAGAGCCTTTGACATTGTTGGTTGTGGTAATTGCTATGAAATTACGGTTATTTTACCTCCTTCTTAACTACACCAGAAGCTCCACAGCCTATTCAGTTCTCACTTTTCCCAGTGCTGGAAACAGACCCACCCCTGAGTAGCTGAGGCAGAAAAGTGGGAAAGATGGAAGGGCACAACGGGGACACCACACCTGCCCACAGAGCTAAAGTTACTCATAAAGCACATTCAGACAGGCAGCTATCAGTTTAATATGGGCTTGGCGCTAACTCGAGTTTATGATGTCAGTACCCCAAGGGGAAAAAAAAGCAGAAATAAAAACGAAAGCCATATTCACATACTGTTACCTGTTTTTCCTCTGGTGATGGTGGTGGTGGGAGGATAAGGGAATTGAAGGAAGAATTAGTAAAATATTGGAATTCTTATTAACTGGACAAAAAATTCATATAATATTAATATATATAACTAATAATATAATAATAATATTAGTTGTCTGGCTTTGTTCTAAGTGATTTACATATATCACTAACTCATTTATTCCTCATGAGAAGCCTGTGAATTGGGATAATACCACCCCTTACAGATGTGGAAACTGAGGCACAGAGAGGTGAAATAACTGGCCAAGGGGTCCCACTGTGGTGAAGCCAGGATTGAACACAGGTGGTCTGACTCGAGACCAAGTGCTCTTAGCCCCCTTGCCTGAGGTCCAACCTGAGGGCCCAGCCAGGTAACATGTGCTCCTTAGGTCATGTGACCTGTGCTGGGAGGTGACAGTGTAGAACTGTATGCAGATATCCCACCCTCCAGTCCATGTGCCTCCAACCCTGCCAGAGGTGTGGGGTGTGGAGTCTCATAGCTCCCCGCATTTTCATTATGTCTTAAATTATGATTCTGGGTCTAGTAAACAAAAACTGCCAAAAGGCCAATGGAAATACAGGTATGTGAGGGTCTTCCCATTAACCTTTACTGTCCTGGGTTAGTAACCGAGGCATTCTCCTGTCATCCTCTTCTGTTCCCCTTCAGACCTCATCAGCACTGTGGCCCTGATGAACCATTTGTTAAACTCATGGGTTCCATGTGGCTAGCTTGTGGTGACCACTCAAAACATCAACAGCAAAGAACCAGGTAGGGTTCCATGGGACCCCATACCCTGAAAAGTGAGGGAAAATCCAGATGGACTTTGGTCCAAAGGGGTTCTAAGCAATGGGAAATAGAGAAGCATAAAAGAGATATACTAGATTGACTCGTGTTCCCCCAAATTCATGCTCATCCAGACCTTTTTTGGAAATAGGGTCTTTGCAGATGAAATCAAGTTTAAGATGAGGTCATATTGGATTAGAGTGGTCTCTAGATCCGACTGGTGTCCTTATAAGAAGAGGGAAATTTGGGCACAGACATACAGGGGAGAAGGTCATGTGAAGATGGAGGCAAAGACTGGAGTGATGTGTATAAATTCAAGGAACACCACGGATTGGTGGCAAATGCCAAAAACTAGAAAAGACAAGGAGGTATTCTTCCCTAGAGGCTTCAGAGAGAGAGCTTGGCCCTGCTGACACCTTGATTTTGAACTTCTAGCCTCCAGGACTGCGAGAGAATAAACTTCTGTTGTTCTAAGCCACAGAGTTTATGGTAATTGGTTACAGCAACCATAGGAATCCAATGCAAGTGGGGAAGTATCAAAACGCCAAACTTCCCAAGTTCATTATTCTGCTTTGCACACAATTGCCAGCTATGACCCCAAGTACTTCCTGTTCCCTAGGTAAAGTGCATACAAGTTATTATACAATATCATGCCATATATAACACATATCATACTACATGTGATACTATCAATACTAGCATAATGTAGTTATATAGGTTGCATGATTATATGCTGCATGTTACGTGTTGGGTAATTTATAATATATCCAATAGGATATAATATATTGCCTTTCAAGTGATCTCTTCCTCTGTATGGTAAGCTTGGCTCCCCCTGAAACATGGGCCATGTTTTACTTATTTTGCCTTCAACAGCAGCAGGCACAGGAGCCTGAAACTTAGTATTCAGTGCCTGTTTAAATGAATGCATGTTGAGGGAGGGTGATATCCCTCCCTTTCTATGGCTTGAGGATCTCAAAATTTTCTAATTGGCACTCTGAAGAAAGTCCTAGAGGGGAAGGAAAAAAAAAAGCTTGAGCTCTGTAGCACATTACAGCAGGAGACTGTGGTTCTAGACTCATTTCTGCCTCTCCTTCACCACGTACTGGCCTTGGGTAAGTCAGTTGGCTCTTTTCTTGGCTTCAATCTTTGCACCTGTATAAAGACCTACAATTTTGTGAACCGAAGTGGCTGATGGTGATTTATTTAAGACAGCAGTTCTCAAACTTTTTAGTCTCAGAACTCTTTTATGCTTTTAAAGACCGTTGAAGATTCCAAGAGCTTTTTTAAATGTGGATTATAGCTATCGGTATTTAATGTATTATAAGTTAATGCTGAAAAATTTTTAAATATTTATTTCTTCATTTGTTTAAATATTAGAATAATAATAAACATGTTACATGT